GATAAATAGATAGATAGATAAATAAATAGATAGATAGATAGATAAATAGATAGACAAATAAATTAAATAAATAAATAAATAAATATATATTATACATGTTGAATATTACGACGATATTTTGTAAGAGAAATTTGTTTAAAAATTGATAGCAGTAACGGTTGATGGTTAAAAATAATATAAAAAATTTATTAACAGGAACAAAATAGATTTGTAGATTGTAAGGAGTAATTTTCTTTTCATTTTGATTTACGTTGAAGTAGTCGTGTCGGTGTTGTTGGCGTGTAACAGCGTGCATCCGAAACCTTTAGATGGCCTAACACTATACCTTTGTTTGCACCCTAATCTCTAGTCCACGAATGGTCGAAACCATTGTCACTCGCGCGTATGTGCGTATATATATATATATATATATATATATACGTTCGCACGAAGTTTCCATTTCAGGCTTCCAACGACGACGAATATGATAATATTTGATAAACGTGACAAATATGATAGCAGATACTCGTGCAAATTCACAGTTTTCGCAAAACATATTTTTGTTATTTTTTCGTAAAAAATTGTTAGATATATCAAACACCTAGAATATTACAATAATTCACTGTATGTTATCATATAACATTCTTCGATCGAGAAACTTGAACACCTAGGAAAAGGTGAACAATTTCCTCCTCTCCTTGGAAACGTTCGAATGAAATTTGCAGAAGAGATTGTCAATCTCTCTGGAATTAACTAGTCGGCATAATTATTTCGTTTCCAAATTTCTCATAGACACAGGAAAAGAGGGGGGAGAAACTGGCGATAACACAGGTTCCATTAGAAAGCAGACGATTCGACGCGAGAATAAAATTTCTTTTCGAGAGGATTGACGTTGATTCCGCGAGACAAGGGGTTAATTCGCGTCACGTAGCGAGCTATACACGTATGGAAAAACAGTGGTGTCTGTTTTCTGTTGGCCGATCGAGACAGCCAGAGCAATTGACCATAGTGGTCGAGATAAGCAATATCGTATTTTCGGCCGTCTTCGCTGTGGAGATGTTGCTCAAGATCATCGCCGAAGGACCGTTTGGTTACATAAGCAACGGATTCAACGTTTTCGACGGGGTCGTCGTGGTCCTCAGGTACGCGAACGAAGCAATTTTCACTTCTCTGGAAGAAAAAAAAA